TCCTGCGACCGGGGTGATGACTTCCCGCCTGAGGCGGAAGATGGTAGAGGAGTGGAGGACGACATGGACATGGCTCCGGAGGATCCCGAACTTCTCTCAGCGAAGCCCAGAAGAACAGAGCAGGAAGGGGAAGGAGATGAGGATGAAGAGGAGGAGGAGGAGGAAGAGGAAGGGCAGGAGGCTGAGGAGCGTAAAGACCTAGAAGAGGGTTCCACTGAGAGGATAGGAGAGATGCTTGAACTCCCATCCTCCTCAGCATCCTCGCCGTTACACCACCCAGCGCTGGGCAGGAGGGAGGCCCAGAGGGATCGACTCAATAAAATCCTGCTAGATCTGCTGCACAGAACGCCCAGCAAGAATGGTGAGGGACCGGGAACAAAGCAGGGGGGTAGGTCAACAAATAAATGAGGGTTAAAGTTTCAGATCATATGCTGTGACACATCGTTTAAAAATGTTTTTTTAATACATTTTATGTACCTTTTCCTGAATGGGTAAGTTTGAAGTTTGTGCAAGAAACTGTCCATTAAAGGAAATGCTTTGTCCGAGTCCCTTCCTCCCATCTAGTGTTTCAGTCTGTTTTCATATGCTGACAGTATTACCCAAAAATATCTTAATCTGGAACAAATCTGTGGCTAATCTCAGTGTTCAAAGGATCCAGTAATATGCTGCTTTAAGACCAAAATCAGCAATGACTTGATCTTGCTAACGAGTGTTACTTGTGCAGCCAAAGCCTGACACAGGTTATCCAAACACATGAGTGAGCCACACTGCTGCACTGAGTGACGTTTTCCTTCATTACAGTTAAGAAACACAGTCACCATTTTTTTTGAGTCAATCCCACATACAACGTCCTGCTGCCAAAACTAGAGCACCTGAGTGTATGAATCCGCCACTGAACATAGTCCCCAGCAAATTGACTATTTACTCCCTATTTAATGCGCAGCCATTACAAGACATTATAGAATCGTTTTAGGAAATTAACTTTTTAAAGCTTTATATCTTCAGAAGGAACCAATGGGCTTTAGTGCAACATGGCCCAAAACAGTAGTTTTTGGTCTTTTTATATAATTTGTAAATAGTACGAAAGATATAGAATATCACCAGCCTTATCATTTAAACGTAGTGAAATCCTTCCATGGGCACCACCATGCTCTCTTCCACCATAAAGCAGCTGCAGGAAGTGCAGAGGAAGAGTTGCTGACACAGAATAGCAAATGAACAGATTGAGAAACAATTTGGCTTTTTATTTGTGGATGAAAAGCTGGAACGAAGAAGTATTCCTGAACCAAAATGACACTTGAACATATCTCTTAAAAGTCTAATAGGTGGTATCAGAGAGGTGAAACATTTTTGCAGGTTTGCAGGCTTACTGTTAGTAACAGTTAATGTTAGAAACATGGTTTCCAACTGTCTGATTTTTTGAAGCTTCATCATTTTTTTGATAAAACACTGTCAGCTGTTTCTATGCAAGCTTCTAATCCTCTCTTTCTCTATCTGTGTTACTCCAACAGCCATAGATGTCACTTATCTCTTGGAGGAGGGGGCTGGGCGGCGGCTACGGCGACGGACGCTCGGATTCGGTGATTTCGTTGGGAGGAAATAATGTCGCGACGTGCCTGTCAAGCACACTGCCTTTCACTTTGTGAGCACGGGGCAGAAAATGGAGAGAAAGCAAGAAGGGAAATGAGCATTGCTGGTTATCTGACCATTAAGGACCACAATGCATCCCTGGGGGCCTCTTCCAGTTTACCTCTTCCAAGACTGTCATCTCATCTCTGAGAGGGTGGAGGGGGTTTGGAAGCGCTGACTCATGGCAATTTCAGCTTTTCAAGAGTTCTCAAGGAGCACGAAGTGAGAGCTGACCCAGACTTCTTGCTTATTTAAGTAGTATGATGCAAAACCTGTTTTTTTAATGAACATAGGAGAAGTAACCCATGCACTTAAATGCATTGAACATTACAGACATGGGTAGATGTATTCCACTAGCAAGCATCAGAAATGAAACAAGTGGTACTGAATAGGGGTGGATAGAGGGGAGGAGTGGGTAGTCCTTTCAGTCAGTGGGAATGTGAATGCGAATGCTGGAGAATTGTTCCCCCTAGTGGGACCTAGCTGCAATGACAAAATGTAACATGAGAGAAGAACAGCGCTGGGACGGAGAGGGGAAATGGTATAGTAGAAATGTAAGTTGAGCGGTGTGCTCAGATGCTGCTCATGAGAAAGAGAGCATGGGTGGTGAACTGCACTTTTGGTACCATGGATATTGTGAAGCTCTGTGTAATGTATCTATAATGAAAACACACTAACACTCACAGTATTGGATGATGCAGTCTGAAAAAAAAAAAAAAAACGAGTTAAAAAGTCTATTATCTTTTCCCTGTTATACTGTAGTAACTCATTTAGGAACAGAAGAGGCCGGGGGTGTGTTTGTTTTTAGAGTAATGGGAGGGGAGGGAAGATTGAGTGTGCGCTTTTGTCAGTCAAAGTGTCTTGTTGAGGTTTTAATTCTTTATTTTGTTGTGAGGCAGCCAGCTTCGCCCCTCTTTTTTGAAGTAACATGATTCACCAGCTTAACTAAATCAGGCGTGCGGGGGGGACACTGGCTTTAACTGTAACGCCTTACACAGCCGTGCTCTCCGACTGCCTTGCGTGCGAGTGTGTGCGTGCGTACACACTTACTGTGTGTCTGTACTCTGCCAGATTTCTTGAAGATATACCTTTTTAAAAAAAAAATTTAAAAAAAATTAAGGGCTCGATGGCAATTAACAGTTTTAAGAAAACTATGGAAAACAATACTTAACATGAAATGTATCGTGATGGTCATATTTTCTTATATTCTGTCAGACGGGTGGGGCGGTGTATACTGTATATTGGGAGGGGAAGGGACTTAGGATTTTTTTTGTCTTTAGACTATGTTCCTGGTTGCCATGGAGAATGTTTTAAAGGAAATAGGAAATGTGATATTTGATGAGATTTCTTTTTTTTCCCCAAATGCCTCTGCTAAAAAGGGACAGCCTGCAATGTCCCAGTGCGGTAAACTGACAGAGATGAGACGAGAATGAGACACTGACGGAGGGAGAGAGGGGACGGGAAGCTGTACAGTGCCAAGTTATGTAAATATATACACTTTACATTGAGGAGTGTCTCCAAAAGCAATATCTTGAAAATGGATTTTGTTTATTATTGTACTGTACAGGACTCAGCCCTAAATGTATTATGATTATTATAATAATGATAATATTATAATTTCTTCCGTTTGTATTACTATAATGAAGACACTTAAGCTCGGAGGAAAATGATTTTTTTAATGTCCAGAAAATCTCACCGTAATTGTCCTGACGACATAAAAACTTTAGCTGAGTTTTTGTTGCCTATAAATGAAATTCATCTATGTACTGCATGAGCGAGAAGAATGTCAAACGGACACAGAAGGCATTGGGACATGACAGTGACTCAGCAACGACACCTTTGTCACTGAATATTGTTAATAATATTACTTTTAAGGAGAAATGTACTCCTTGTCTTTTGCTGCAAAGTGTTGAACACTAAAAAAACAAACCAACATAAAAATGTTATGATATTTTTAAACGGTGACAGAAACAAAGGTAAAGCTGTCAACCCAATATCATGTTATTATTTTTGTTTTTCTTTCAAATAGGAAATGGTTCCGTTTTGTGATAGCAGTCATTGTATGATGCTTGTACTTGTATTTGTGTGGTTTGTGTGATTCGTTTAGTTCTTTTTAGACAATCACAAAATAAGATGCAAGCATTGTAAATGGCAGACTGGCGGACATTTTGTGATGTGTACAGTTTGTCAAAAAAAACTTCTTCCACTCGTTAAAAGTTTGTAATTATGATTCTTAAGTCATGAAAAATGCTGTTGGTTTTTACTTTTTGTTTTATATTTGTTTTTTTGTTTGTTTGTTTTTTTAATAAAAAGCACTACATTATTGTGAATACACATGATGTTGTTGTGCTTTGAATACTCTTAAGGTAGTTGAGAAAATATACAAAAATCTACATGTCCAACTTGTTTGTTGGCTCTCTGCTAGTTTTATTGGTGATGTAGCTGAGAATAATCGGAGAAAAGTTTAACTTTATTCATATCCTTGAATTAATTAGCATTATGACATGTATACTGTACATGTTGTTGTTCATGTTTAAGACATGAAGCTGGTATGACCAAAGACAGTGGACTCTGTAGAGTGAAACATTATGCAGGAATGGAAAGAGTGTTGCTAATGTGATAATACTGGTAAGAGCCTAAAGGGATTCTCAAATGATAACTTGATAATCAGACTGCATTGCCATATAGTTTTCCACTTAACTGTTACTGATGAAAAACTCATGGATATGGAATTTCAGAAAGGTTCAACTATCATAGCATTAGCAGTGTAATGTGCAAAAATGAAAATCTATGCATTTCAACTGGTTCAGAACAAATACCTCTTAAGAATCTTACAATTTATTGATGAATGATGAATAATGGCTAATTTATCTGACAGAGCCTCTGGAATAGAAAAAAACCTTCCCCTCCAGCATCACCCAACTTTCTACAACTATGGAAAATTACAAACTTTTTGTCTTCCGAAAGAAATTAGAATCATTAAAATCAACAATTAACATGGATTCTAAATAAGCCATAATACATCTTTATATTCATAAAATTTTGGATAAACGAGCTGCTTTTCATGGTCATCTTCACTTGCCTCAGCGCCTAACGGGTCAATTGAATACTCTCGCGATATTTCAGAACTTGCATACTGATAAGTGTCGCTTGAAAGGTTGATGTTCCGTCTCAGCATTAGCATCTTACAAAGTCCCATCAACTACTTAAGTACTACTAATAAATTAACTACTATTTAAATTTGTTACCGGTGTGATTGAAGACAAGGAATGGGGACTGTCACTTCCAGTCAAGTCTCGCGTTGAACTCGTAGGTATGACTCAAGGTTGCCATAGTTACGCCAATGACGCTCAGTCAGTGGTTCATTTTAGCCAGCGGCTGTAGCTGACTCATCTGATGAGTTGAATTTAACTTTCCGACACAACAATGTCTAGAAAGAGACACGTAAAAGACAAAACAGAGAAGGCGAACGCCGAGGACGAGAAAAATACCGGTTAGACAATCAGTCTTTCATCAGTATGTTAATCAGAGACAGCTGGTGTAGACACTGCAGTGTTAGCGCGTAGCTAGCTGCCATTAATGAATCAATTAATTTGAGTTAAACTGCATTTTATATTTTGTAAGTTTTTGATAATATACTAGTAGTAGTAATACTACTAGTATTGTAGTAGTAATTGTATAGCTTGCAATTTCTATTAAGTTAGTGATTTCTATTTTGACAGGTTTAAATAGTTGTTTAATACCTTGGTGGAGAAATTCTCTGCATTCAGTGTCTTAGTTAATTGTACTTAATGTGTCAAAAGTAAAGGTATGGATTATGCAGAGTGGCCCATTTCAGAACAATGTATATTATATTATATTATAATTATGAATGCATTAATGTATCATGTTAATGTTGCTGCAGGTGCAGCTCATTTTAATTATTTTACATACTGCTGGATAGATTTAATTTCCAGGATCAAGGAAGTCTTAACCCAGAGGCACTGAAGCATTAACCCATTCATTAGCTTTAATGGTATCATTGTCACAGTTGACGGGGCCTGAGTAGAAGATTTAAGGGATGAAATAACCATTCTCACTCACTTGATATTTGTGTTACAGCTATGATACGGTAGCCTACCTCACGGTTCACTTTTGTTGTTTAGCTTTCCAAACTGTTAATAAAAAAGAGAAATTTTCAACAGGTATAAACTCTGGCCTTTCTGTTGTTTTTAGGACAGGCGCCAAATGAAACATCGCCTGCCCAAACCTTCGGTAAGTAACTTTATCGGGCCGTGTTTGGTGACGTCTAAGAATTACATTGTGCAATTACATACATGCTTTAAACCCACTATCCCACAGATGAATATCAGTGCTCAGGGAAAGTGGAGATTGACTTCCCTGGGCTTTGTGCTCTTCTGAACATAAAGGACATCCCAGCTGTCAGCACCAAGCAACCAGCCTCCTCCATCCTCACTGAAACTGAGGGAGGGGATGTGGGTAAATAACAGCTCTGTCTGATCTGAGCAGCTTTGCATTAGAGGACATTAAAGAACTAGGAACATTCACTACACTGAAAATATCATTTATATATTGTACTGTATATATAATTTTATAGGAAGTCTGAATGTACAATAATTGTCTTTTTTTTACTCTCAGCTTCACTTATAATTAACATAATTGTACCTTCAGAGAACAGGCAGTCCCAGAAAAATGCTGTATCTTTCTGGTCTAAATCCTGCCTCCAAGTGGAGCTGGAGAATGAAGACCCCCTGAGCGCCAAAAGCATGACAGTTTCTGGTAAGAACCAAACACCACGGAGAGATGTTCATAACCATATTTCACTTTGTTTTGACATTAGAATTTTTCTCTTTTTACAGTCTGAACAGTATGCAACCAACAATGTATTTAATATTAGAATATAATACATACTGTCGCCCATAAAGTTGGAATAATTTTGTTTTCAGACACAATCCTGTGTTTATTCCTATTTAAATGCATCAGTTATCACTTTTGACCAGGTGCAATGATTACATTATGTGTCCCAATTACCCAGGGGAAATGAAATAAATCACATTGTCACAATCATTTCATGGAAAAAGGAAAAAAATATTTTATTCCAATTTTATGAGCAACAGTGTATATATATACATATATATACTGTATATATATGTATATATATACATATCTTAAATAATCTCAGGATGGAAGGTAGATGAGCCGACTACCAGAGTGCTACAGAAGATCCTTCCCTCCTTGAGCCAGCTACAGAGCCTTCAGTAAGTAATGAGCTACTGCAGAGAGATGTACTCATGTTACATGGAACAGGGTTACAGCTCTCACTGTTTGTTCCTGTTTGTTTGTGTAATCACTGTATTGCAGGTTTTGGCAGGCGGGACTGACAGATCAAATGGTAATCTCCCTCATGAACACAATATCACTGTGCTCCAACCTCAGGTGAGCGGATTCTATTGTCATTCACACAGTGAGTCTTTGTTTTGTAGCTCTCTGCATCACAGTGGGTATGAATGAATCTGGGCTGAAGAATGGGACACTAAATTTAAGAGAAAATAGCTAGAGAGAACGCCACGTGATGTTGAACATTATCAGCCAAACACTGAGGGTTAGTGATCCATCCCCTCCTCTTTGCTCTTTGTTAGGGTTGTGAGGTTAGAGGGTAACCCTCTTCCAGAGCAGAGTTACCACCATCTTCTCTCTGAAGACAGCATGTAAGTCACCAAGCAGTTACACATTTCACATAATTGTACAGAACTTTAGCTTCAGTTCAGAGGCACAAACATGCCCGATTTCATTGTGTGTGTTTCTTTGGTCAAGCCTCACTCACTTGTCCCTGCGAAATAACCGGATAGGAGATGAGAGCGCTCGTCTGATTGGGGCCGCGCTCTCAACAAAAAGATCTTCTAACACGAACCTCTTGTCACTCAACCTGGCATTCAATTCCATCAGTGATACAGGTGCTGCCCATATCGCACAGGTATAACCCAGAACTGACTCCATATTCACCCTATATGTTCCCCTCATGATCACTGACATGTTTTCTTCATCCTGTTCTGCCTCTCAGGGCTTGCGGTTGAATCGGGCTTTGCTCTTTCTCTCACTGTCCAACAATCAGATTGGAGACACAGGAGCTGCTCATCTGGCTGCGGTATCCATTTACATGAACAATTTTAACCTCAGAGATAATGCATTTAAATGAGCGGTTAAGTTGTTTTAAATTATATTCTCCTTAGTGCGTTATATTATCTAATTTAATAAACATCCACTGCTGACCACTTCCATTTGCAGATACTCAGTGACTTTGCTCTAACTCATGAAGAAGTTGTGGAGAGGAGGAAGCTGCTACTGGAAAAAGCGCAGTCTGTAAGTGTGTGGTAGTCTCCAATATTAATACCCATCCTACCTTAAAATGCATCCTCATCGCTAAATGCTAAAATCTTCTGTTGAAAACATGAAAACTTACTGACACTACTCACTTCACAAAAATACCCTCACTTCAAAATTCTCTAACTGGTTCTTACAAGTCTTCCCAATGAGAACTCTTCACAGTTACACAGTAACATAATGCTTTTGATTTTTTCAAGTAGTTTTTCAATGGTTTGAGCTACATAAAGGAAATCCCATTTGCCGCCATTGTATTGGGGGTTGTCAGAAATTTCAGAGACCTACATTTCAAACAAATAACAGCTCTCTGTGTGACTAGATGTCACTCAGAGTGTGTGAGAAAATATGTTTATTTTTTTGTTTTTACACATTTTGTAATTCTCTTAATTCTCGTTATATCTGCAGTCAACTCCAGGAGTCGATTCTGACCAAACACCTGCTGACCAACTTCCCTCAGTACCCAACAGCACTTCTCTAAGCGTGAGCAAGGGGGAGAACAAAGGTACCTCCAAAAAAAAGGTAACATGTCAGCAATGGTGTGATTCCAATGTATTTGGTGTGCTGTGTACTGTTTATCTTGTACTATAGACTCTTGGTGTCTGTTAAATTACAGGAAGCATCCAAAAAAGACGAGAAACCAGCTGCTAACAAAGAGAACCCAAAGTCGAACAAGAAATGTAATAGCTTCCGTCACAGATGAATACTTGTTCCATTATCCTCTGACAGCAGGGGTGTTTGTCTTTTCATGGCTGTCTCTTTAAATCTCTCCTAGCCTCTGATGTAAAGGCGACTAAAGGTGGCAAGCCGGGGGGTAAAGAGAAACAACTAACTACACAGGAGGTACCAGACACATGCACTCTGAATCTGGCTATAAGCATGCACAGTACAGTAAATTACTTATAATAACTTCACTTGTTTTACTTAATTTATTTCTGCAGGACCAATCGAGTGCTGCCCTGAATGAGGTTTGTCTGCTGCAGTTTTGTTTTGAGCTAAAATTTTGTTCTTGATGATGACTGTGACTTAAACGTACAATGCTTTGCCATGCACTCGTTCACTCCTCTCCTCCTTCATCAGCAGGTAGAGTTGGTGGAGATAAGGAACCCCCTGCTGGAGCAGTCGCTGCAGCACAGGGACGGAGAGCTCTTTCTGCCTGGAAACACGACTCTCACCTCCCTCAACCTGGCAGGTCAGTAACTGTGGTATGAAAGAAAAATCAAGGCCTAAAACAATTCACATCAAGGTGTTTCCAGCACAACTACAGTGAAGTTTGATCGCAGGAATATTTTCAACTGTGATTAATAATGTGGAGCATCAATTTTGATGTGAATTCCTCAGAATCAATTTGCAAAGGTTTCCTTCTCAAGACGGACTCATGTTTAGAGAACTGCTACAAATTAAAAAATACTTTTTTATTGTCATTTGTTTAGGAAAAAGTTAAAAATGGGAGATTTATTTATAGGCCACATTAGCTTCATGAAATCCTTATTCATTAAGGTGTTTTGTGCAAGCTGGTTGATCAGCTACTTCCTGCAAAAAATAAATAATGAAACCTTATGAGGACTTTTGAAGATTTAAATAAAATTGTTATGTTGGTTATGTGTTTGTGTAGGAAACAGAATCACAGAGAAGTCGCTGCATCTGTTCCTGACGTCACTGGAGATGCAGGGTGAGGGAGGAGGCCTGCTGCGTCTCTGTCTGCAGGTGTGTTTTAACACTGTCTCAATATGGTGACAATGCTTCATTTTAAATCAATCACTTTTTCCTTTGATTTTTATCTATTAAAGTAAAATGTATTTATTGTATTAGGATTGTAATTTATGCTCCCAGTGTATCAGTGATTTACCATAAATACACCAACTTTTGATGCGATCTACAGTGTTAACAGATGTGGATGAGTATAAAGATAATTTGTATGATGATTTCTGATCTCTCTCTCTTTCAGAGAAACCGCTTCCCACCAGAGTGTGAGTCCTATATGAAGATAGAGGAACTGATTGCACTCAGACATCAGAGAAAAAAACGTTCTGAAGAGACAGAAGAGGAGGGACAGGGGGCATAGTGCTGAGAGAAGTGACATCTGCTGGGTTATACTGTATACCTTTAATTTGTTATGTAATAATAAAATGCATATATTTTGTCTTGAGAATTAACAGTAACAGCCTTGTGGTACATAAAGGCAGTGGCTGAACTAGAGATTTTAATGTGGAATGTGGCACATTAAATCCAGATGCCTGTTTACAGATCCATTTTACTGCTTTGTTCTGCTTGTGGTCAGAAATTATGCCAAGGACAAAGACTGAGATAAGTATAAATGATCCATTGCTATAATATCTCACAGTTACCAACCAGTAAACAAGTAACTCTAACTCTCCTAGAAAAGTTGAATCCAAGGGCAACTGAACTTTGTTGTAGATACTTGAAGACGTTTCACTTCTCATCCAAGAGGCTTCTTCAGTTCTGACTGACTGTTAAGGAGACCAAGTGATGACAGCTGTCCAACAACCAGGAGCACTAATGAGTAATCGATGGCTTTGATAATGACCTCACAGAGGCGAAATACCTGGGTCTCCTCACCAGTCAGTCATGGCTATCCAAATTCTCTTAGACAGGATCTGGATGACTAAGACTCTTCACAGACAAGTAACACTCACTGATTTTTAAGTTTTTCAAGTTTTCTATTATAGAAAACTCATTGATATTTGTGTTTGGGACTGCTGCTCAGACAAAACAAGCAATTTGAATATATTGACTTGGGCTTTAGGGAAGAATGACGGGCATTTTTCAATGTCTTCTGACAATTTATACACTGAACAATCAGTCAGTTAGAAGAAGAAAGAAAATAATTGTCTGATTTATTGATGAAGGTAATTGTTGGTTGCAGCAACCCATTCTCACTTGAAACAGAACAGTTAAAGCTATTTGATGTAACACAACTTCAAACCAAATGAACAAAATCTAAACTAAAATAATGAAGGTCTCAAAACTAGATTTTGACTGGAGTCACAACATTGAATGATGAAAGACCAATTAGAGGTGATATTGTACAAATTTATAACAAATGTGTGATTAATCAGATTAGACAGATATGATATTCAGTTAGGGTTTTTAATCCTTCTTTGCTATGGGGCCCTCTAAGGAAATGAAAATATGAAAATATTTTGTTTTAGGTCCAACTCCTAATATTTTGTCATAATTTAAGTGTATAAATATACACATTAAGACAGTATATTTATACAGTTTATATAATCTAATCACTGGGAGTGCTATAATGCATTTTGTCATTTGGGTGTATGTATCTAAAAGTTATATTTTATACTTCCAATGTATTTTCTTATTTGCATTTTATAGAAAAGACACAAAATATAAATGTTTTAAGTTTTTGTCAAAATAGTAATTGGCGTTGTGAATATTAGGACACTTGAGGTGGTTATCAACAGTGCAAGGTAAATAAAAACGTAGCTTGTGTAAAGCCCATCTGTATTGAACAGGGTGGAGATTTGACCTCACCAATATGGCTGCCGTGCTTGTCTGAAAGTCGTCATATCCGGCCCGTGCTCAAAGGCACAACCGATATCAAGCCCTCGCTTCCGGTGAAGCCTCCTTTTCGGCAGCGGCTATTTCCTCGCCAACATGCCAGTGAGTATCCACAGGCCACTGTAAAATGACATTTTTACCATTTAGTCGAGTGTTGTAGAGCCGCCACACGGCTCAACATTTACCTAAAAGACTAGCGACTGAACTGGAGTCAGTTTTAGAGGCTTTCGTTGAGTTTTGGTCCCAGTTTTTCCACAAATAATTGTGCACATTTGAGCGCATTGCGAGCGCGTTGTGACACAAGATGGCTGCGCGCACACCGCAAACATGGAGCCAGTTTAACTGGATATCTAAACGGGCTGATAACCTTAGCATTAGCAGTCAGGATTTTCTCTTGTTCGATGTTGTTAGGTGGATGTTTAGATTACTTTACCACTGATTTACAAATATTTGAAGAGTCACACGCGATTGCTGAAAATACGCAGCCTGCGTTACCTAATCCAAATGTAGGCCAGCCGAGTAGCCTTAACGTGTAGCAGAACAAAACAGTGCTAACACAACATTTAACTGGTTTGCTTTGAAGACCACTTCTACATTTAAACGACCACGATCCGGCCTTTTATCTTTTCTTTGGTATAACCTGCGTAAGCTGTCGTCTTAGTTTTGACTGAGTATAGATGAGATTTTTCTGATCAGGTTCCCAAACGTTTCCTTCTGTTCATTTCCCCCTTTGTTTTCCCTCCAATGCAGCTCGCGAAAGACTTGTTGCACCCATCCCCTGAGGAGGAGAAGAGGAGGCACAAGAAGAAGCGTCTTGTTCAGAGTCCCAACTCTTACTTTATGGATGTGAAGTGTCCAGGTACAGTTTTTCCACATGCAGATGCAGAGATTAGTACTGTTCTTTGGCCATGGTAGGTGTGAAGGTGGTAACTGGTGTCTTGTTTGTCTTTATTTCCAGGATGCTACAAGATCACGACGGTGTTCAGCCACGCTCAGACAGTTGTGCTGTGTGTGGGCTGTTCAACAGTCCTGTGTCAGCCCACTGGAGGCAAAGCACGTCTCACAGAGGGTCAGTATTATCCTGCAGTAGGCACGTTACAGGGGTCTCATACTAATGTAAAGAGATGAATTGTAGTCAGGTGCTTCTCATTGAATCGGAGGCGATATGCCCATTTCTGTCAGTTGTTGAAATACAGTATGAATCACAAAACTTGTGTTCACCAATCTGTGCAATGGTCACATACTGTTGGGAGGTTTTGGTAAACGGGCCTTCTTCAGCCACAACTGGACCAAGAAAACGTTGGAACCCTCCAGAAACGTGCAGTGGCATTTTGCCTTAAGTTTGCTCTCACACATCAGCACAGATGTATTTTGTGTTTTCACACCAAACCTAATTCTCCGCACCAGACAAACCAATAAATAACTGGTGTTTGAGGACCATCCTTTCACTAACTGGATTCAAACTGAATGCAGTTGGTATTGGAGCCAAGCATTAGGTTTTTCTCTTACCTGCACAGGACTAAAGTTTTCTGATTTCACTGTTATTTCATGTAGTGAGCTGGTTGGTGTGTGAAACTTCATCGTTCAGGAGCCTCACACTTGGATTGCATTGAACATCAACCACTATTTAATCCAATGTTCCATTTAATCAGGAGAAAATAAGAACAGGATTAAAATGTAGCACATAAAATCCAGATGCAACAACTTAGGGTCCTGATTGGTTGTCACATACCATGTAGAGACGCTGGTTGAGAACAGAGTAATACTTTTCTTTAACCATCACTTTATCTCATCTGTCAGCATGACAGCTAACAGATTTATCTAACATAACACAAGATTTTTTGGGGATATAACTAGTACTTTAGCCCCCACCCCAAAAAAATATAAAATAGTGTTTGTGACAATGACCGCACTGCCAAGTGACTGGACTTCCTCTATCGTGGTCTTCCAATCTCATTCCAGTGCCAGATCAACCTCAGTTTGCAGAAGGGTTGAGCTAGACCACTGGCTCCCCCCTTTCGAAGGCTGAGAACAAACATTTACTCTGTAGTTACTGTAACGTTCAGGTCAGATTGTTTAATCTCTGTAATTGAATTGTTTTCAGTTTTCTTGTAAAAACCTGGTGTTGCATTAGAGACTCCTTTCCATGCACAGTGAATATAAAGGAAGTTGGTCATGGGAAGAGATGTTGACCTAATCAGTCACATGATACAAAGTCTCGTATCAGCACTGTGTGGCACAATGGGAGTGTGCACCGCCTGCAGTATTTCTGTACTGTAAGGCTTCTCTTGTGTCAGCAGTGGTCTGACTGTCATTGTCTCTCCTCTGGCAGGGTGCTCATTCAGGAGGAAGCAGCACTAGCTGTTCTCCCCGGAGCTGAAGGGGAGAGGAGGGGATGGACCGGTTGATATCAGCGCCTTGACCCAGCGGTCTGATCTGACACGAGACCTAAAGACGAACTGGACAGCAGATGAACTGTTGTTCCATGTCCACAGATCGGTTGTTGCTGTAACTCCACCTTCCAACCCTGTCTCTCTTAATAAAATATTGTTTTGGCTAAAAGAACAGTTTGTGTGTGGTTACTTAACTGTTTTTACAGTGCAGGGATCTGTCAGACATGTAAGACAAAGGCAGTGGACGTATCATCTTTATTAGAAAGTACTACAGGTATAGAATACAGAATTATGAGGACACCGTAACTCTGTAAGATTGCATCTTTATTTTACAAAACCAGACTGGATTTAAATTTCTGCAATTTTTATTGAATCAGAAAAAAGTGCAGCGTTTAGAGATAAAGCTTCTTGCAGACAGTGGAGTAATCACACTCCAGCTTTAATATGTGGTAGTTATGTTTTAAAGAGGGCTGCAGCTAACAATCACTTGTATTGATTAACCTACTTTTTTTTTTCTCCATTAATCAATTATCAGTCGCTCTGTAAAACTTAAGAAAACACTGAAAAAATGCCCATCACAAGTTGATGTCTGACCAACTGTGCAAAACTCAAATACTCAGTTTACTATCATGTAACCTGGAATCTTTTTGTAAACAGTTTATCAGGTAAATGTTCAGTTTGGTCATTTTTTGGTCAGTCCAGGAGAGATTCAAAAGTCAGAATGAAAAGTCAATTATGACTAAACTCTACATTTCTGTTGAATGGTGTTTACGTTACAGGAAATGGTCTAGCTATTTTTAATACAATTTTACATTACGTTTGTACAGCCTTCACCTCGCTAATCACACCTGTCTGTCCAAATCCTGAAAAGAAAAATCATTTTAGCTGCACTACAAGCAGATAAATCCTCCTGGAGCACCTTAAGAGGCCCTCACTTTCTCCATCACCTTCCTCAGCCTCTCTCTACCTGTCGCCTCCACTCACACTAGCGGCCTCTGTCTTCACCTCCCTCTCCCTGAGCAGGTGGCGGATGGAGGAGTTCTGCGTGGACAGGGTGCTGGACAGGAGCGGCATCAGGCTTTTGAAGCCCTCCCTCAGCTCCTCCACGTGCTTCTCCAGGCAGCGGATGTGTGAGTCCAGCTCCCCCCTGCAGCCCTGCACCTCCGACAGCACGTCACACATCAGGTTCTGCATCTGCGGTGGGGTTGTTTGTCCACAGTGATGTGTGCAGGTCCATGTTGGAGAAGAGAAAGAAAAAGCATCAGGGAATATTAGATTGCTACTTTGCTGAGGTTTTGACAGGATGCGATATGAGATGATTGCGTTCACTTGCCTCTCTCACCTTGCAGAGGTCCCCTAGTGTGTTCCCCTGGTCTGCAAGTACCCTCTTCTCCATCTTTACACGACGCAACCTGGAGACAAAATTATTTAGTTTTAGATGATGCAGAAGAGAAATTTAAAAGGTCAGTTTACCCACATTACTCACACTAACACAGTGTCAACAGGTTTTGGTAGAAAGTAGTTAGAAAAACAAAAACAAAGCGGTTTACAGTGAGGTCAACAGCTTATGCAGCGTTTTACAACTTTTGACACTATTTTCCCATCATCGCCATAGTTTTGGGGAAGGGGCTGAATGAAGCGAGTACATGTAACTTAAGTCCAAAAAGAAACAAAAAAGTGGTCATTGGTAAAAAAAAAAATATTCTCACATACTGGCATATGCATCAGTAATACACTGTTTTCCAAGATGTGGAACTAAAGCCATCTGATACAAAAATACAAAGTATTAATATTAGGCTTTAAAAGATTATTATTATCACAACATCAAAGTATAAATGAAGGGAAATGGCTGCTCTTCCTTGCACTGTGACTGGTGCACAAACAGCTTTATATGAAGGTTAATTGTCTTACTGGTGGATGGCCAGAAGTAACTTCCTCTGGTGCATGCGGACTCTGGTGTGATCTCTTTCTCTTGACAGCTTAGTGTGTTTGTAGATAAGCCAAGTCTCCCTCAGCACATTTGCTGCAGCAATTTTTATCTGGTGAAAGGATGTAGAAAAATCACCCGGGAGACATATTTTATGTTTATGCACATAACCTCAAAGAGTTATTTACTGCACATGCTGAATAAGACCGACTTAATGGAAAAGTGTACTGCAGTCATTTTGTCTCAACTTTCAAACCTGATTTTTTTCCCCAAAAATAGACAAAAATCTAAAATGTTTCTGCGGGGGGGGGGGGGGGGGGGGGACTAAGAATGAGATAAAACAGTCTAAAATAATTAAATAATTGATAAGAAACAGGATGATGACTTAATATAGTAATAGATTTAAAACATTAGTAGATTCAGACCCCAAGCCCTGAAAAAGCACACCTATAAAAATATGTCTTTAAAAGGGATTTAAAAGAGGCTAAGGAGCTTGGGAGGTTGTTCCAGAGGGCGGGGGCCCGAACACAGAAAGCTCAGTCACCCTTGGTCCTCAGCCAAGATTGTTTTAGGTTTTTTTTCTCTGATAAATAGTGTCAGTATCTTACAACAGGACAATGTAACACAGTTCAGCTCCGATAACACAATATCATGCAAACAATTTCAGATATGCACTTGTTCTGTGGATATTCTGAAGTCAGCGCTCAATCAAAAGCAAGAAACACACGCAAAGATCTGTATGTCGTTGAGTAAAATGAGTTGATATCTAAAGTGTGCTAGCTAAGGCTAAAACTTCACACTGTAAACTGCTGTGGTGAACAACCCGACTAAAAAATGAAGAGCTGCGGAGAGGTCATAGTCTGTGCTGAATCTCTCTCTCTCTCTCTCTCTCTCTCTCTCTCCTTTGGGCCTATTTAGTTAAAACTATCATGTAAAATCCAGCCACACTGATGGAGATATCGGTCTTTACCCTCTTGGAGATGTGGGAGTCCATCATAAAGTTGTGAACATGTTTCTCTGCTCTGGTCAACTCCAGCTTCCTGGCAACTACCGCCACCACCAGGACTGTGCAGCCTGCTCCCTGTGAGAGACAGAATCAGACGTTTCTATTGTTATTGACATTCAGAATCTGAATGAATCTGTTGTTAGTGCTATGTGCTTACCATTATACCAGTAAGGAGGCAGATGCTGCGTCCGCAGTAGGTGTGAGGCACCACGTCCCCATAACCAATGGACAAAAAGGTGACGGAGACCATCCACAAGGCCTCCATGTAGTTGCTGCTGAGGTCTCTGTAGTTGTGGTGTCTGAAGGAATGAAAAAAGACTCATTCTTCCAGCTGATCTTCACATGAAAGTCACTGTTTTCGTAGCTTATATTTAGTTTTTCTGGTCTTAAATGCTGTTTTACTCAACTGGTCTGAATGTTGTTGAATGTCTACTCTAACATTACTGATGATTTCTTTTCTTACCCACTCTCAGTTTGCAAATTCATATAAATATATAAAAAAAAAAAACTGTCACATTATCAACATCAAGTCGAGAGTCGGTGATGTTTGATCTTGTGTCATCCAGCCAGTTCAGATATATCAAAGCAGAGCGAAGATGGGATTTGTTGTTGTAGCAGAAACATTAACGCAGTACTGAATATATGCCGATATTTGAATGATATTAAATATTAAATATATGGGACTGGAGCACTGTAAACACCACTACAGATTCAAAACCTCACATACCTCTCACAAACGTGTAAGCCCCACGCTGCAACAATCCACAGAGAAACACTGAAAATCATCAGCACAGTGCCGGGGTAGTTGGTCATTAGTGTTTTCCCCACAAACCGGGTGTTGAAGTGTATCTGAAGATCACAAAAAGGATGTATTACGTCATAATTTTAACACTGGGGGGCGTATTTAGCCAGAGTAATTGGGATGGCACCTGTCAGAGTATGATTATTATAATACAGAGGAGATGAGGGATAAGAAAACTTGTTCTCAATCTGGCTTGATACATGGATAGTAGGTTTGGCGTTGCAGAGGGGAGACAAAGGTCATTTTCTTCTACTATCGAATAGCACCAGTAAGGGAAGGGATTAGCCGGGTGGATATCATCAACTGTGGTAAAAGAAAGCAGACAAGCAAAGGAGAGCCAGCGAGGGACATAATCAGCATGTGAAACCACTGGGATTCATGGGAGCAAAACTGTGATAGTCACACCTCAAGTGTCACACGTCTACAGACCTCTCGGCCCACCTAGACATAAGACATAAACAGATGTGCGTGAAATGTTCATAGAGGAAGCCCAGAATATTGACCTTAATATCCCACGAGTGATGTCCCATAGCAGGTTGCTGTGACTGCCACCGTTTTTATAATCACATTAAAAATTGACAGTTCCCTGCTCTCTTTGATTTCAAAGTGTTATCACAGTACTATCCAAGCCAGTTAAGCCCAAAGCCAGATTCTGAATAGAGCCCGCAGGTGACCTCCCACCTTGTTGAGCGCTCCGATGCTGCGGGATGCGGTGTCAGTGAAGAGGCGGCTGTGCAGCATCATGGCCCGGCCCAGCAGGTAGAGTCTGAGGAACATGGGCAGAGCCAGGATGATCTCCAGCTCCGTCTCTGACAGCGACAAGCGAGACGTGGTGTGCTGGAAGTACGCCAGCAGACCCACCGGATAGGGATGGATGGCCACCGCCGCCAGCTCCAGGGCTATCAGAGCCACACGTTCGGTTGTCATGGCAATCCGCCAATCCTCTGCACCAATGTCGTGAACATAGAGCTACCAGAGAGATGGAGAAACTGAGCACTGTAAAGAGCTGGTATATATTAATGTGTGGGGGTCACAAGAAGAGTAAAGGGAGAGAGGGAATATAAGAAAAATCCTGTTTATTTTTTCAGACTTTGGTAAAATATTAGACACTTTCATCTGTTCGGACCTCATGTCTACACTAAGGCCATAAACTGTGACGAGGAGGTCTCAAGTAAGACTTTGCTTCATTTTAAGGAGCCACAGGACAACAAGGTTGGGAACTGCTGACAAATGATCCTCAGGGAAATTAGGCTTTAAAAAGAAAAACATTTTGATTCCTTTATTTCAAATGTGACTGTAACTTGATAATAATTTGCCACATTTTTTCAGGATTTTTTCACATTTGAGAGAATATCACCGGAGGAGGATCTGGATAGAAGCACTCTGATTATGTAAAGATGAACGGTTAAGTCACCTGCACCTCACAGCAGTGGTACGCTATGATGAGGCCGACCAGGATGATCGTAGACAAACTGATGATGGACTTGAGTGCGAGGGAGTAGATGGAGCTCTGTGAGACACACACACACACACACACACACACACACACACACACACACACACACACATGAACATACACAAACATGACATCATTGTCAGCTGATGGCTGCTTGCAATACTCAATATATGAAATGGCATCAGTGTTCCTGTGTAATCTTCTAATCTTACATACATTTAGATAATCCACTTGCTTGATATAATGAACATTATCTCATGGATATACTGTGCAATTTCCTGCAGTTGCTGGTGGATCAGTTCCCATAGCAACTCAACAGATTTCCCAATACAGTCCATATAAAGATCATGATAATATAAAGATCAACCGAATACGAGGACAGAAAATGAAGTGAAGGGTGTGCTATGTTATTATTAAAAATGTGATTTCTTAAGCAGTACGACTTGCTGAGGAACAATCAGTGATGGGCTCTTTTCAGAAAATATAATAACTGCAGTTGTACAGTGTGAATTCTTTTCTTTAAAAATCCCTTTTTGTGACTCTTGTAAAACTTTTACATCCCAGAATTACATTCCCATCTTTCAAAGGATTTTTCAGGGCTTTATTCTGCTTTTCCTTTCACTCTCTGACCTTGCTGTAGACGCTCCAGGAGAGCTCTGTCTCCATCACCATCATCACCACCCCGAATATCCCCACTGCCAGGGCGCAGTCGCTCAGCCGCTGCCTCCTCAGGAACAGAGACCTCCTACGGAGCAGCCGCCAGCCGATGCTGTGGGTCTTCCAGTAGTTGTCGTCCTTGCCGTCTATCTTGTGTTTCGGACTGGGCTGAGGACTAGGACTGGGGTTTGGACTGGGACACTCTGTTCCCGGCAGCAGGCCTTTGGCCTCAGGCAGGTCCTGATGATACTGTGATGTCTCGTTGTGTGGCTGAGGGTCGTCATCTTTGCTGGTGATGATGATCTCTGGGAGACTCTGGCGGTCGTGCATCTCCAAGGAGACGATCCCTGGCCTGCAGCGACCTCTGCCCTCAACATCCTGGACGTCTACAAATGACCTGCAGGGGCCCTGGAAGGGTGACCCGCAGGGAGAAATGGGGATGTCAGTGAAAGAGGTGACTTTCTCCTGCAGTCTGTGAGATCCTGTGTTTTTGGCTTTGCACTGGTGATTTCGCTCCTTGTTTTGTTTACTACCCCCTGACCTTTTCTCACACTTCTTCTCTTTGCCTTTGGCTTTGTCTCCTCTCCTATTGGAGCGAGGTGACGATGCGACATAAAGTTGGCCGTTGTATAAAGGTGAGGTGGCCATGGCTTGGGTTCTGTCCAGCCACACAGTGTGGTCAGCTGATGTTTGGACTGTGTGGTGTATCCCACACTGCGGAGAGCAGGCCTGAGGTGGAGGAACCATCCTTAGTGGGAGGAGGGGGCGCTGGTCCTCCACCTCGTCTCCATCCACCACCGACAAGTTCATAGAGGGGGAGTGCTCCATGGTGAGAAGGTTTAAGGGTGATGATGCACCAAATCTTTTTGAGGGGAGAGAGAGAGAGAGAGAGAGAGAGAGAGAGATATTAGACAAGTGCACTGAATAGAGTTTAAACACCATTGTGAAAGAAAACTGCAGCTTTCACTGTGTTTGCAGTTTACTCACCGGAGAAGTAATTTGATTTTTAAATTCTGAAATCTGATAAGCAACAAAATTATCTCCCACTATGATTTGTCCAATCACAAATATTTCTTTCAGGACTCAGTAATCAAGATTTAGTCACAAGCTTCACTTCACTGCAGAGTAAGCTCCTAACATTAAATAATTTTTTCTGTAGGCCTGTTGAAAAACAGCTCCTTCCATCTTTATTCTTACCTTCTCAGTCAGGTTTTTCAGTCAACACACAATCCGCTATGAGGATGAGAAAAAAAGGCCTTCACTCTTATAGCCGACTGTTTTATCTGTAATTCCCCAGAGTATTTTAGTATTTCACTCTTATGGTGCTGAAGGTCACATCTGCCTGAATCAGACAGAGATACTCCAAGTAAAGTCCTGTTGTAATTTCCAAAGAAACAAACACATCCCTTGCTTCAAGAAGACATTTGAAAATTTAAGGCAAACCACAGTGAAAACTGATCAAGCTGCAACACCAAACAACTCCAGAGTGATCAGATCAAAAATATTCCAAACGTCCAAACGCTCTTCATGTATGAACTTTCCAACAATCCATTAGCAGCCTCAGCATCACGGAGCCCCTCCCATAGACTCAAGCGGAGGTTATGAACTTCTCCTGCATATGACGACAGATGAGGTAAATACCCATGGATATCCATTACATTATCAGGCCTTTATTCCCTTGTTTGTCTTGCGTTTCCTGCTTTATGATTGTCCACCATCAGGACATCTTCCTTAAAGCTGGAGGGGCTTAATGACTGCAAAGACTCTAAGTTGCAGATGTTGTGTGGAGCAAAAGCAAGGAATGAGTCATCTGTCATCTGAGTTTTTTTTTTGTGAGCCGGAATTGGCGGATTTCCTCCTCCCTGTGTGCATGTGGGGAAGCCTGCTTATACATGTGTGCCCTGGTGTCAAAAATCAGCCTGAAAACATTCACACAGTCTAATAAGAAATGCTATCATATCACATTTCAGTTATAATTTCATCACGGTGTTATTATTGTCATGGGAGAATTCCAAGTGGGTTATACAAACCTGTTTTTTTTTTTTTTTTTTAAATAAATCTAATCTTCAAAAGAGAATAACGGCCCTCAGTATTAATTCAGAAGATTAGTATTGCAGATTAATCAAGCGAGACAGCGATCTGATACTTATGAGCTTATGAAATATCAAATATGTCACCCCTTAACCGAACAATATGTACAGAGCAGGGAGGAGTTTTAAGCATTAAAGTCATAACAATGACATTCAGCATCATTTATTTATCTAAATCCTTGTGACAGATGGGTCTACAGATAATAGAGTTTCCTCCAAATGGAAAGACCCAAGGAGCAAAGTGTGGGCGGATCGCATCCGGAGAGTGGCAGGATATAGAACGGCATTATTTAATCTGAAGACAACATATATTTAAAGATAGATAGATAGATAGATAGATAGATAGATAGATAGATAGATAGATAGATAGATAGATAGAAGGAACGTGGTGGGAGGGGGCGTGTGACTGTGCACAGGTGGAAAAGCAAAAACATGGTGATAGTATGATCAGACATGATTCAGACTTCCTCAGACAACCTTCCAGATGTAAAATAGATTAATTATGCTAAAGCTACTCAGGTCTACTCTGAGACTTAGCCAGATGCTGCTGTCTGGATTTTTTGTTTTGATATTCTGCAGGCAGGGAGCTCCCAACAGTGTGCCTCAGTGCGTGACTGTCAACACTGAACCCTTGTGGATGGTATCTGATAAACTCAGACACTATCTCACATCCTTGCAGAGAAGTAGATACTAAAATATGAGTATTTAGTTTGCTGAAATATAAAGCAAAAAGCACTGCAAAACTGGCTCTGCTGCGTTGATAGGGGCTATAAATGTTCTTAAATTATGTTGTCCTTTAATAACAAGATGCTGAAAGGATATATGCACATCTGCAAGGCTTCAAATTAATTCAAGCTTCGAGCCAAGTGCTTGTAAATCCTGGCTGCTGTAGCTCGTAGCTAAGTATGTCAATTCTTCTTGGCTCTATGGCCGGTAGCCAGCACGTCTTCAATTAGTCTCTTATATAGCATATCATCCTCTGGCTGCTAAGAGAGTGAAATTAAACTGGGATATTTAGAGTCCACTAATTGCTGTGGCTGGTAAATGGCAAATCTGCTTCATGCCCTGAATCTTAAAAGAGTGCCACCCTGACCATCCTCTGGTCAGGATATTAATTGCTTCAGTTTGATTTGTGGAGAAGCATTGGTGAAAAGATAAACAAGCCCCATTGGGATGCAAACAGTGATAACTCCATTTTGTGTTTTAAAGGTTAAAGGGTTAAAGGGATAATTTAACATTTTTGAGAAATATGCTTATTGGCTTACATGCCAAGAGTTAGATGAGAAAACTGGTACCACTCTCATGTCTAGCCGTGTCCCCAGTTTGTGCCCCCCACATATTAACATGCCATTCAAGTCACAGAGCAAATATTATTTTGTATGAAAACACAAAATAATAGAATCAATATAGAATTAACATACACATATAATAGATTTGTAAAAGTTTGGATCATGTTGCAAAAGCAAAGACATATGTCACTTCCACCTACCATGTCTGTTTGGTTTAAGAAACTGGGCCACAACCTGGAAGACACGTTGAAAACTTTTTAATTGTGCAGCAAACAGGATGTTTAGAAGAGTCCAGGAAGTCACTGCTCCTGGTCAAGAGGTAATTCAGCACATAAACCCGTAACTACGTTTCTGTTTTTAAACAAACAAGATACAATCTGCTTATTAATGAGCTGTAGAGGTGCCGGTGGTGCACTTTTTGTTAGCTTTGGACAGTGCCAAGCTAGCTGTTACCACCTGTGTCCAGTTTTTATGCTAAGCTAAGCTAGTTTAGCATGAAAGCTGCCCCTGTAGCTGTAGCTATGTATCCTGGCTGTAGCTTCAAAGTTAGTGTACAAGACATGAAAGTCAGCGGCTCGAAGCTACATTAGCAGCTACTAGCATAACACACCTGAATTGTGGGCAGTAGAACTGCATTGTTGGTAATGTAGGCGCCAGATTTTTAGCAGGAATGTGTAAAAAAAAATCTCTGGTTCTGCTGCATCGATTTCGAAGAGTCGGACAGTTTTATAAAGATGCAATGCTAAATCGCTGGAGAACTCTTTTAAGATTGCTCACCCTACAATTATATTGGATAACGATAGAAATACTTTTGACCAGCTGCTCCAGGGGTTTTCAGGGGCCGGATATAATTGTCTCTTGTAAGAGAACTTTATCTACTCAACTTCATTCAAGACAAAAAAAGGCCACGCTGACAAATCAGACGCCACAGCCGAGTAGATGTCTGTGCTGGTTTTGTCGATAACACCCTATTAAGTGGAGGGGACGTGTCAGCGTAGGAGAGGGCCTAATCCAATCAGCAGAGTAATTAAAAATACACAGCACAGCAGCCCTGATGGCTGCATTGTCAGGGGCGGCATTCAGCATTTAGCACAGAGACAGATGAGCTGCAGTCATGCCAGGACAGAGCGATGGTCATCGCTGCTGCTGTGCTATTAGAATAACAATCAGGATCACCAAAACAGCAAATATGCAGAGAGTGATTTGTGGCAGTATTAGCACCATATTATTGTTCACATGATGTTCATAATCCTCATTATCTTCCTCCAACTATCATCATCATTGATGTGGCTGTAATCCACACCCTGCTCAGTGTTTTCATTCATTTGCCTGTATTGTTTCCTAATTAGCCTTCTCTTTATAGCATTGGCTCTCATCATCTTCTCGTTTCATTTAGCCCAGTTTCTCCCTCGTTAACAACCCCCCACCCACACCTCACCCCCACCCACAACCAACCCCTCTACAAAAAAAAAACTCGTGCCAGTGCTGCTGATCTCCAGCCAGCATGCAGTGGGAAAACAAACCACCAGATGTCACCCACGCCTCAGTGCCTCTAATCTGTATTTTTATGAAGCTTAATGAATTTTGCTTTTGGCACTGTGTCACACTGGTGCTTGGTGCATAACAGCACAGGGAGCTTTTTTTTTTTTTTTTTTTCATGAGATGAACGCAAAGTCAATTTTGCACAAATTTGAGTTGCAATATTGCAGGGATGCAGCAGCAACAGGATATCTTCTCCTCTGATGATACATTGCTGATGCCCATAGTGTGTCCTCGCTCCATGCTTGGTGCAGTTATTTCTGCTTTTTTCTGATCTTAGCCATCCTTCTTTTCCCCTGCGAGGGACAGACTCCATCCTCTGTGTGCAGCCGAGCATGAATCTGTGGCTCGGGAGCACTCTGGGTGTGTGACAGGCTGGGGTAATTCCGAAGGGCAGTAGAAGTAATAGGGTAATCTATTATACAGTCCAACTCTTCCTTCCTCCTCTCTTGCTCCCCCTCCCACCCCCCTCCCCCCTCCCCCCTCTCTCAGTCTTTGGGTTTCTCGCTGCCTCTGCCCTTGCATCAGCATTTCGTGAGGACAAATGAGAAGTAGAGTTTAACTATGCACATTGCCATTGCCCTCCTGCAGAGCCCAGCACTTTCTCAATTAAACTGGAGTCCATCGGACCCCGCTGATTCAAAGCTAACCCCCCACTGAGAGGGGGAAGCTCACACACTCTCTCTCACACACACACACACACACACACACACACACACACACACACAGTTGCCAGTCCAGCAGTGCTTGACTGTAACCACTGTGGTGTGTTATCATATGTGTGACCAGCAGCCACATATTTTTTGACACACGTTGTGCTGCACATGTTCACCAGCCAGTAAAGTTTTAAACAGTAATTTAGCTCTTACAATTACATCTTCACACAGAGAGATTTTCAATGCAGAGAAGTGGATTTTTTTTATATTTTAAATAATGCCTGTTTTTGTGCTCAGATTGAATACAAAAACTGGGCTTTAAGAAAGGTCTTTAACTTTCAGCAAATCAGCTCAGCCCTTTTGTCGTTCCCATTGCTTCTTAGTGCATGTTTTTGTGCACAAATTGAGAATTCACTTCTCTGCACTGAGCGGCTTTTTTCTGTGTTTCACTGCTGACATGTTTGGGAAGGCTACTTTCCACTGTTTCTACACTTCACGTCTTCAGTCAATTCTCCATTAGTGTCAGGATCTTTTAAAATCATCTGTTTCTTCTGTGTTTATTAAGGTCAATATAGATCCAAATAAAACCTCTCCTTCCTCCACCTCCTGCTCCATCTTCAACCCTTCACCCCCATCACTGATTTTTCTCTCTTGTGCTCTCCATTTTAGTCCCACCTCCCAGAGAGACAGGGAGGCAGGGGAGAGGGAGCAAGAGAGAGAGAGAGACGAGAGAGAGAGAGAGAGAGAGAGAGAGAGCTAACATCTCCTCCTCCTCCTCTTCTTGCGCTCCCTCTCTTCCAGCACACGCTCACACTCCTTCCCTCCGATGCCGACTGGATGCAGACTGGGGGGTTTCCAGCAGCTTCCTGAGTCTGTCCTCCCTCTCCTCTCCTTGCCTCTCCTCCCTACCCTCCTCCTCCTCCTCCTCCTCCTCCTCCTCCCCCTCCTCCTCCTCCTCTTCCCTCTCCTCCAACGTCCGGAGCTTCTCCTCTTCTGCCTCCCCTTTCCTCCTGCTCCTCACCACCAGGATGTGGCACACGGTGGCTCTGCTCCTCTCTGGATTCTCTGCTTTGATTCATGGTGAGCCCGCCCGCCTCTTTCTCCGTCTTTCACTGTGTTTTCAGGAATCAGATTGCAGCAGCTGCACTTTTGTCTCAAAGTGTGATTTAAATAGGAAATCAGGAACAGGAGTCTGTGCTTTTGACGCTTGCTCTGTGAAGTACACTGGAATAAGATCTTAAAGTAGAGATAGAGATAGAGAAAAAAAAAAAGACTCCAGAAAAAGAAAAGTGAGAATCTGACTCACCTGTTTGCTTACTTGTTTACATCTCAGGGATTTTTTCATAACTGTGCTCTTATTTTTTCTGGATACACATGCTGTCTTGACCTTAAGCGTTGGATGCCTCTGCATGAGATGTTTGAACAGGCAGACAGACATCTCGCCTGTGCAGCAGGGCAAGATGACAGAAACAGTGTGTAAAAGAATCAGAAGCAGCAGTCATCACATTTCATCGCTTTTTCTTTTCTCATTCCACGACCCTCCTCCTGCACAAGTCAGCGTGCATGTCAGAGGATCCTACCAACCCCCCACCCCCACAGAAAACAGGTCACAGATCAATTAAATTGCACGTATAAATCCTGCAATCTTCCATCTTGCCTTTCCCTGTTGTGTTGTGGACGTGTTGCTGCAGCCGAGCCGACGGGGCTCTGAGCAGCAGAAGTCGTAGCTGAATGTAAAGGCTGACACTGGATGACAGAGCTGAGAGGAGAGTGGGTGAACTTTCCCCACAGGCAGATGTACCAGCAGTAAAATGCTTTACAGTTTGTTTGTTTTCAAAAAAAAGAAGAAGAAGAAGAGGTTTAAGGCCAGAGAGTGCTGCGAACATGAGACAAGAGGATGCAAAGGCTGAAAGTTTCAGACTATATTCCTGCAGACTCAATTTTAAAGACGGTGGTGTTGAAAAAACATCCAACAGCTTTACCCTCACTTTAACATTTTGCATGTGTCTGGCTGGCTGCTTCTCCTGAAAGCACTTTACAATAGCATGAGTACATGCACCCCTCTGTCACTGCCATTGCTCCAGTGGGACCTAAACCTAGAACCATTTGAACCCTGATATTCCCCTTAAACACCCTTCAAAATCAGGAACAAAAAAAAAAAAATTTCCTTATGGTTTGACAGTGTCATAGATACAGTGCTTTCTGCATCTGCTTTTCCAGCACCTTACACCAGACTGTGAAATTTCCGAACAGAGACACACATTTTTTACTGCTGCACCGATGTGAGAAATCATTTTAGAATCATTTTATAATTCAAAAACCTTGGAAAATTGACCAGAATATAACATAAAATTATATGAGTTTGGATAGAACTTGCTGGCTGTGTTATGATGGGATGGAAAATGGAGAAGACATCCTTTACATGTTAAACTGTTCTTTGGTGGTTCCCAGTACAATCTAACCTTTAAGCCCATTCTTTGTTTTGACAGTGTATTAACATCTTTATTCAACATTTAATGAGTATTACCTCAGAGCCTTTCAAACAAACGTAATTAATAATTCAATATTGCCAATTATGCCCTGATAAGGTTCCTCATATTTTCCTAATTAGATGCTGTTTACACTCTGTTCCCGCTGATTCTCTCCCCTCTTTGTTAATTTCCATCTGTATTTTCAGTATCATTGTTAAATATTTCAGTCTGACTGAGGAGCTGCACCTAAACTCCATGTTTCATTTGCGAAGCTTAAACCATAAATGTCAAGATAAGTGTGACTAATGATGAAAGATCCATTTTTATTTCAGCTAATTTCATCATTACATTTTTTTCCTCACATTTGTCTCTTTTCTTTTTTTTTCAGTCTTGCTCTTCTGGATGTATTTATAGATATAGAAGTTCAGTTAGTGAGGGTTAATCTTCTGATTTGATCAGCAACATGTTTTTTTAAAATATATTTTCAGTATCCATCCCTGCCTGACTGTCCTCCCATCTCAAAGTCTCATTTGATTTGAATGAGGTTTTCCATGAAGAGGTCATTTTTATTCACTTCACAGGAAACACAGAGTTAATCTGCCGTTGGAGGTGAATGAAATTTTGGCATAGAGAGGTTTTCTTAGGGTTTTGAAGTGTGTCTTGCTTTTCCCAGGTGAATATTTTGTCAGATTTAAATTCTCTCAATCTTGTCCGCCTCTCCAGTGTCGGTGCAGGGTCCGCACCAGAGGAACCTGCTGAAGAATCTCCTGAAAGACTACAACCGGATGGAGCGCCCGGTGGGAAATGACTCCCACCCCCTCACCGTTGTCTTCTCCCTCAGTTTGATACAGATCATGGACGTGGTAGGTGTGAAAATACATTTCTAAAATACAGATATATTATGTTTTTAATTCCTGTGATGAAGTTATTTTTTGTTTTTTTGGGAACAATAATGAGCATTTGCAACCTCTAGACTTGTTTTGATAATTAAAATGGAGATTAGATGTGACACTACCCCGGATAAGTGGCAGAAAATGGATGGATGGATAGATAGCCTGAAAAAATAAAATTCAAATCATCGTTCGGTGCCACGTTGAGCATCCTGTTTGTTTATGCCTGAACTGTGATATTTTTGATTATAATAATGGTGCTCACAGTAGGCTTTAAAAAATATTCATGGAGGTGAGAAAGTCACTTTTCTATAATCTATGATAAGGTTCTGCTCACTGATTTACAGAGCAAATGATTTCTAAGAAAAGAAATGTGCTGAATGCGTTTGAATGTTTCGCAGGATGAGAAGAACCAGGTGCTGACCTCTAACATGTGGCTGCGGATGGTAAGGACTCCTGAGAGACTGTGAATGTTTTAGGTGATAATGAATTTGCTGCTATTATGGGTTTAGGTGATTTTTCTTTTATGTTCTTTTGTGAACTAGTGAAATGAAATGACCTACACTGTGAATCCTGTCATTCTGACTCCAAAACATAGATGGATTTGATATTTCTTTTTTTAGAAAAAGTTCACATTTTTTGACATTAAATATACAAAAAGTAGTATTTTACCTGAATTATCTGTTTATTATTCTAAACTGAAAACAGAGGGGATTGGTGACACAGCAGCTTGCCTGTAGTCAACTGAGATACAGACTGTATCTGTGTTTGTGTGTTTAAGAGCTGGTTTGACCACTACCTCCAGTGGAACCAGAGTGAACATCCCGGAGTTAAAAACCTCCGCTTCACCACAGACCAGGTGTGGACACCAGACATCCTGCTCTACAACAGGTACAACATGTACACACACACACACACACACACACACACACACACACACACACACACACACACACATACGCACACACACACTCTCACACTATATTCCAACCAACAAATAGTGTCACTCCCCCTCCTGTCCTTCCGCAGTGCAGATGACGACTTTGACTCCACCTTTAAGACCAATGTTCTGGTGAACTCCAGTGGCTACGCCGAGTATCTGCCCCCAGGTGAGTGACTCTCTCCTCCTCTTTTTTTTTTTTTTTTTTTTTTTTTCTTTTACGAATTCACATCTCACTATCATTCATCCCTTTCTCCCATGATCATATCACTTCCTCTTCTCCCTGCGGTGCAATGGAGGCATCTCATTCTGCACTCTCCGCATGTCTCCCTCTGTTTGTACACTTGGTGTTAATATTCTATTAGTTTAAAACAACATCCCTTTTTGCTCACTGGTTCCAGATTCCCAGTGCTGGGTGACGCCTATAAATAGGAGATGCTCGCTTCCTCTGCTTCCTGTCTTAACCCAAAACGCAAGAACCGTGCAAGCCTGTGAAAGTAACTGCTCCCCCCGGGTTTCCACATGTCTCTGACTTTGTGTTTTCTCTGTCATTTCTTTATACACCAGATTACAGCGAGCTGAGATTGAATCCCTGGTGTTAGCGGGGGTTGAGTTGAAATTGCCCTCTGAAGTAAACGTGGAGGATTGTGAGCTCAGAAATCCACCCTATCTATTCCATTCAGTGGTCCATGTTTATTAATAGGCTTCTGCTGGATGTAAATACAGCTCCTTAATGCTGCGATCTGGATGAGAGCCAATTAGGGGAAGAATAAAACGATAGTGCTCTGGTTTGGTACAATAAGGAGAGTTTTATTTATTTTTTATTAATTTTCTTTTTTTTTTATAGCAAAACACGATGAGAAAGGAAGCAGAAAGAGAGCAGTGGAGATGGGAGTTAATGGAAAAACGAGGAAAGAAAAAAAGTGGATAAATGAAAAGAATAACCAGCAAGCCAGCTTTCTTGACTCCCCTCGCGAGTCTGGCTGCAGTTCCTGAGCTCTGTTCAGGCTGGTTATCGTCAGTAAATAAAAGGCAACAGGTCTGCGGGTGGCAGGCACGCAGCAGGAGCTTGACATACGGTAAATTATTTAGAGACATTGTAGCAGGTGTCTGCTGCATACTGTTATTTGCAGGTTACCTCTTGTTGGTGCAGAGGCAAAGGTGTTCTGCTGGTATGTTTGGGTTTAATGGTGTAACAGGAGGACGGTGGGGTGTAACGTAGCTCATATCTATGTTAGGTGACATTTAGAAAAAAGTGTAATCTTGTCTCGGGGGCCTTGTGATGCCTTCGTGTGAAGTGTTTTTTTTTTTCAGAATTATGAGTTTTATTTTGGGAGCTGCATGTGCTGCAAGACAGAGATTGTTCCAAGCTGCAGAAAGAAAGAAAGAAAAAAAACACATTCCAGGTGTCTTGTTTGTGAGTGTTGCTTCAAGGTTACTGGATATCTGTGAGAGGCAGGTTTCAAAAATATACTGTGCATGAAGAAACCACAGAGCAGTGGGCTGCAAAAGCAGACAGAACTACTTTGAACTGATCAGTGTAATTTACGGGGGAGGGGTTACTGCCTCAGGAGCTCATAATGGGAGTCATTCTAAAGACTTCATCCCCATTAAGCAAAAGGCAAGAAGTTCATGTTAGTAGCAAAATTTTATGGTACGGGAAAAATTTGTAGCTGCTACTTAATTTGGTGTCATTTTTAGGATCAACCTCTGCTTAGAAAACCAGCAACCTGCTAACCTCCTTATTCTTCTCCAATCTCTCTGCTTTTATTCCAGTGTGAAGGCTGATTTGCATGTCGGCAGCCTCATAATGAATGCCTTTGAGATCTGTAGGGCTTCATTGGCATTTTGGCTCTGTGTGTGCGTCTGAATGTCTAAACAGGCTTGATTCATTTATTTCAGTAATTACTTTAAGGGTTGGAGTCTGCCAGCGACCACTGCGAGGATCACTGTGATTTTTATTTATTTTTTTTCATCTGGGGGTGGATACCACAGCATGCAAGTGTGTCTTCATGATTTTGTGCTTGCATGTGCCTGCGCATATCCCCGTGAGTGCATTTATTTTGCATAATAAAAGTGGTAATCTGATTAGGGCGCTGTGCATAATCTTTTTTTTTTCAGTGATCACTGTTGATGTTTCCTTCTTTCGCTGAGGCTTAGCAAACATCTGTGTTTGCAGAACAGAGTGTGTGAAACCTGTGAGTGACAATACTGCTGCCAAGTTATTTTGTAGGCATTTCTTTGATGGGAGGTTATTTCTTTGCATTCACTTCTCTAGGCTCCAAACTCAATTTAAAAAAAAAGTAAACTCTCAAATCTTATTGCAGTGTGCACTCTTGATTGTGCTGCAGCTTTTTCCTACCAACCCTATATAAAAAATATTAGGTGGTTGAGTCAATAATTGAGAGCTGGCTAGATATGAAATGAATAAATTATTCTTTCTGACAAGCATCTTGATATTCAGGACAGGCTTTTCAGCACAACACGAGCGCTCCTCAGATCTTTCCCTTGTCACCTCTGTACAGGAAGCCGCAGGGGTCAATTCCGTTGTTTAGACGATTGACTGTTGAGCTTTAACTCTCTTCTTTCCGCTCTTTTCTCTCTCTTATCTTTTCCTCAGGAATCTTTATGAGCACATGCAACGTGGACGTTCGCTGGTTTCCTTTTGACATCCAGAAATGTGAGCTGAAGTTCGGCTCCTGGACGTTTGACGGCTGGCTGCTGGACCTTCAAATGAATGATGCTGACATTTCAGGATACATGCCCAATGGAGAGTGGGACCTAATGGGTGAGTAGAGTGAAAAACCTTTGGATTGTGTCATCGTCAAAAACATCTAGTCATGGAGCAAGAGTCAATTTCTCTCCGTCCCTTTTTCTTGCAGGAGTTCCCGGCACCAGAAACGAGGTTTTCTATGATTGCTGTAAGGAGCCCTACCCGGATGTGACGTTCGTTGTGACAATACGGCGGCGAACTCTCTACTATGCCCTGAACCTGCTCATCCCCTGTGTGCTGCTTTCCTCTATGACCCTGCTCATCTTCGTGCTGCCAGCGGACTCTGGGGAGAAGATCTCACTGGGTGAGTGGATGAAAAAAACAAAACAAACAGCTATCAGAGATGAAGTAGAGGCATGAAAAAAGGCAGCTGCAGTGGAGCAAAAAAAAAAAAAAAGAGAGCAGGAGCGGGAGAAGTGGGATTGTTCGTTTAACATCTTGGTTTCTAACTTTGTGAACGTGCACACAGTGAGGTGTGAGCTTGAATACAAGTCCAATGTTTCTGTTAATCTCACCAAAAGATATCTCTTAGATGTAGCCTGTGGAGATTTTGACCACTAGAAGATCCGTGGAGCCGTGTGTTTGTGTAGACAGACAACAGCTGGTACAAAATGGATTCAAACAATGCAGGTTTCTCTGCATGTCTTTTCAAAATATTGTTGTAAAAGTTATGTGTGCAAGGAAATGCATGCAACAAATTTTTTAGACCATAAGTATAAACACATTGTGTTTTGGTGAGTAACAGCGACTGTAAACAGAAACCTTTTTTTTTCTAGGAATCTCAACAGGGCACCTTAAAGTCCCAATAAATACAAAACACATATTTACGATCATTTATATTTTGTATTTATGGTTTAAAGTAAATATGGTAAAAGATGATGATAATGCTCTTAGAGTATAAGTCACATTACTGACCAATGGACTGGCTGGAAACGAAGGGGTGCATAAAGCGTGGTGCGCTGGAGAAAGAGTTGTGAGATGTATTTTAATTTTGATTTTTTAAATTTTAAATCTTGGACCAGAAGGGAAATCAACAACCACACCCGCTTCCTTCAACACCCAACCTACCCATGAACTGCCCATGAGCAAACCCCATCCTCTCAGTTGTGTTACAGATGTATACATGTGTATATGATAGACAGTGTTCACAATAAGCAAACCTTCCTTGTATGAAGGAGTGGCACTGAAAACTGTGGGGAGGCATGAAGGAGCCTAAGGAAGAGGGTGCGGAGCTGAGAGAGGAGAGGGATTACAGGATAAAACAGAAAGATGAGAAATGTGAGGAGGAGGAACAGAGAGGAATAGATGTGGGAAGGTAGGGAAAAGGGAACACAGTCAGGTGGAGAATTCAAGAAGGATAAGAGAGGGTGGTCCAAAACAGAGAGGGAGGAATGATAAGGAGGAAAAGGTGGGAGACAATCAAACACTACAACGGGCTGGAGGAGAGCGAGACAGAGAGAGAGACAGAGAGAGAGACAGAGAGAGAGAGACAGAGAGAGAGACAGAGAGAGAGAGAGACAGAGAGAGAGACAGAGAGAGAGAGACAGAGAGAGAGATACAAAGAGAGAGAGACAGAGAGAGAGAGACAGAGAGAGAGGAACAAACTGCAGCTGCGAATACATTTTAATATCTGTCTCGACCTGTTTAGAGACGAGCGATGTTCACCTCATCAGGATAATAAAGGCTCTGGATAATCTAACCTTTCTGACTGGAGAAAAGTCAATAAATCAAAAGGTCGATTGACAGAATGATAATTGATTAGTTGTTTTTAAAGTAAAAAAGGCCAAACATTTTCAGTTTTCAGCTTCTCAAGTGTGAAGATTTGATAACCTTTTGTTTTACATCATAATAAATGTGAGTATCTTTGGGTTACAGACTGCTGGTCACACAAAAAGAGCCACGTTTCACTATTTTCAGACACTTTATAGACAACAAAAAGGATTGATTCATTGAGAAGATAGCCAGCAGAATAGTTGATAATGAAAATAATTATAAGCTGACTCTTTCTGACACCGGCTTTGTGCTGATCTAATCACTCACTGAATACTCACACACACAAAATAAAAAACTAAATACTATTTGACTCATGTCTGCGAGGGAGGGAGCTGAGAGGGAGGCAGCGACAGCATTGTCAAAGAATCCTAAACATCAATACAGGATGCATTACGCAGCATTTCTCTACTGAAAAAAATGCCAACCCTTTCACACACGGCCAGTTAACCTATTGATGTAATTAAGGCTAGTGAATTGATTAGGGAGAGAGAGCTTACACACTGCCTTCCAGGAAAATACTCTGTCACTTCACTTGATAGAGGGGACCCGGGGACAAAGTGGCTGGGCCTTTGGGGTTAGAGGAGCATGCTTTTAAAAAAGAACAAGTGTCATTGCCGAGAAAAAGAAAGCAACATAAAAGCATCTTTAATTTTCTTAATATCCTTAAAGGGCATGCATATTTTATCTCTCAGTCTAGGAGTTTAATTGAATGCTTCTGAATGGGGACATTTATGCCAGCAAAGCACTCCTTAAATTCTGTCTGTAGGACAAGTGAGACAGATAGTGTGGAGGTGGACAAATGAAGATGGAGATGAGTTTCAGGCTGAGTTTGGACAAGGAAAAAAAAAAGAAGAAAGATGGTTATTTGCTGTGCAGAAGGGATTTTTGCTGCAGAGGTACATAATGTCAAAAAGTAATTCACCGCATGAGCATTAGCTGGTCATTTACATAAATCGAACCTGATCTCATCCTGAGTGTGATCATTTATCAAACACAATAATGTAGTTTATCAAGAAAGTGCTGTGACTCGGTGGGGGGGGGGACTAAACCACAAAATTGATTTCTTAACAAAATTTCTATATGTCTATCTATCTATCTATCTATCTATCTATCTATCTACACAGGTATCACTGTCTTGCTGTCTCTTACTGTTTTCATGTTGCTGGTCGCGGAGATCATGCCAGCCACATCAGACTCCGTCCCTCTCATAGGTAGGCCTGCGTAACAGAAAGTCTTTGCGTGCTTTTTTTCCGGATTGGTTCACATGGTCCTTAATGAGCATGCTCATGAGACCCAATTGAAACCTATTGATATAACAACATTTAATGATCGTCTGTATGAAATGAAGATGTTTTACTCATTAGAAATACTGCATCTGTCTCCATCTGACAGTGACAATCAATATCTGGTCTCTACTGTTCATTTCTTCTGCAGTAATTCCTGGTGGTTTACAGTAAGAATGAGCATCTGGTGAAGCTCTGCTGGCTTAAAGTAAATTCAAATCAAGTTTATTTATCTATCAGCAAAGTCGACGGCCGCACCAGTGGCTCTGAGCTAAATGCTAATGTCCGCATGCTTACAGGTGTAAGGTTTACTATGTTCACCATCTTTGTTTGGCTCGTTAGCATGCTAACATTTTTCTAACTAGCACTAAACAAAAACTACAGCTACTGAAAATACAGACGATCACCAAAGTTACTACTATTCATCCTGTCTCCTCCGTCCTGTGACATTTCATAACAATCCATCTCTGAGAAGTGGTGAACTGGCTGACGTGACCATCTACAAGAGCCACGCTGCTCGCAGTTTGTCACAGAGGTCATTACAATCCGCCAAGGTTATCACACCCATGATCCTCAGAGTATCAATTCAGACGGGTAAAACACCAATTACACAAAATAAAGGTTAAAAATGCACAATCACAACTACCAAGTGTTACAACGTGATAGAGCTACAAAATGCCAAACCCCCTCTAAGAAAAAAACAAAACAAACAAAACAGAATTTATTTTATCCATCTGCTCGCCATAAAAATTTAATTGGCTAAATTTGATTGCAGGCACATTGCTGGAAATTATGTTTAGTGAGTTAAGATAACTGCCAGTGACGGATGCTAGGCCATGTTTGCCTAAAGACACAAATCCTAGTCAATAAAAACTTGAGAAAAAAAAGTGGAGTAATTACCATCAGAGTGTTGCTTTCAGCATAATGTTTTATTAAGAATTACTAGCCTGATGCAGTCTCAATCTGTTCGCTGTTTTTGCAAACACAATGTGGCAACTAGCAGGCAGTGGGTTGAGCAGGCCTTGGGTTGGCATGAAGATATTTAACAAAGAATGTGTTCACCTTGAATAAAACAGAGAACAAACTGAGAGAAACTAATACTTTGAAATTCCATGCAATAATCGACGGGGCTCATCTCACTGACCTTGCAGCGCTTGAGACGGAAGCAAAATAGTACATGAACCACATTTTGAGGATGTTGGTGAATAACATGAAAGTATGTTTTTATGTCAGTCTTGTAGCTTTTGTCCCTGGTGTTTCAAATTAAAGAGACTTATGTTGGTCTGTCAATAGCCCAGTAGGAAATTACAGTGTGTGTAAAATGACTTAAAACATAAATATTGTTCTATACTCTACTACTCCCAGGTCAGTACTTTGCCAGTATAATGATCATCGTTGGGATGTCAGTCATTGCCACAGTGGTGGTTCTGCAGTATCATCACCACGATCCAAACGGAGGAAACATGCCGAAATGGGTGAGCTCACACTCTTCATCATACCCCTCACATGTGTTATCAGATATATTCATCATGATTTGCAGCTTGTTAAATCTCCCCCTAGGTCCCCCTATTATATATGATATATTCCTTCTATTATTTTCTATTTCAGCATTATTATCACTTCCTTTTTCAATCCCGTTTTATCCGTCCCTTAGTGCTACCTGTGCTTCTCTGCCAGTTTACTTTCTGTTTTTATTCCCCGTCTTCCACGGCTGCGACTCATCCAGCAGTGTCAGTCTGCCTGAGTGTGTTCATCAAATGCATCGCCACAGACTTTAACTACAGTGTGTTTCAAGTCACTCCGGATATGTGGGTGGATTCGATTTGACTCATTCCATTTTTTGTCTTGTCTTCTGTTCAATGCTAAAAATGCATCAAGATTTTTTCAAAGAAGTATTGTTCTACTGTGACTATATCAAAAATGTGAAATATGCAGAAAAAAAAAGGAGGGCTGAAATAATGAAATATGAAAATTGGTCAGAGGAATCGCTGCCTTAAAACATGATTTTGACAAATAGGATAATATAATATAATATTTCATTAATCAACAAATGTTGTATATGAGGGAATCATTGTAGGTATTTTAAGGTATATACACAAATATCTTGGTTGTGTGAGAGTACAAATGCTGTGCATCGACACATTGCGGGGCCATTCTGTTGATGAATGGCCTGCTCAGATAATCCGATGGCTAATTAACAAGCTAATTGATGTGGTTCAGATGAGGGCATCGAAACAGCACAGTTCATAATTGCAGCCCGGACAAAAACAGCATCAACAGCAGCAACAACAGGGACAGTTACCTGGCCAGCGAACACAGTCGGTGGAAACTAATTGAGCAGTCATTTGGACATTAGCTTCTCATTAGATGCCAGACACCCATCTGGATGCTGTTGGACCAATGTGGCCTTTCAGGGGACATGTAGTTTGTGTCCAAGGGAGTTTGTGTTCAAGGAAGGAGAAGAGAGGAGATGAGGCAAGGAGAGGAAACAAGGAGAAGAGAGGAGAGGAAACAAAGAGTGGAGAGGAGGAAAGGAGAAGAGAGAAGGAGAGGAAAGAGGAAATAAGGAGAGAATAGAAGTGGCGGCTGTGGCTCAAGAAGAAGAGCGGGTTGTCCTCTAATCATGTCGAAGCGTCCTTGGGCAAGATACTGAACTCCTAATTGCCCCCCGATGATGTACCATTGGTGTGTGAGTGTGTGTGCGTTAGAGAAGTGTTTCGTATAGAACAAGTGCTGTATCCATGTTTGTTTGATTGGGTGAATGAGTAGTCCTTAAGACTAGAAACGCGCTTTATAAATGCAGTCCGTTCACCATTGAAGTGCAGAGGAAACATGGGAACGAGAGGAGAGAAGAGGGGAGGAAACAAGGAGAGGAGGGAAGAAAATAGAACCAAGGTTCAAATTTGTACTAACTTGTGAGCAGCCTCTTTTCTTTTTATCTTAATGCTGCAGTTTATTGCTCAGCTCATTACAGTCACCGCACAGTAATCTGACAGTCAATCTCAATAATTCCACAGTTTCAATTTAAAGCTGCCTCTGTAAGAATCGTGTCTGCTGGGAATCCAGTTAAGGCAAAAAAAAAATCTTCTTTGCCTCAGGCACTTTAACTTGGCATCCCTGGTTCTGCTTATAGAAGTGCAGCTGCATTTTGAAACAAAAAGCAATGTTGGAAACATCACCGACGTCAGTCCACAACAAATAAGGTTATTAGCCAAGCTTAGCTGGTGTTATGAGAAGGTCAAAGAGGTGTAGGTGGATCTCAGTTACAGCTTTCTTATATTTTCTTTTGCTTCCTCGTGTGCTGTTATGCGCTCTTGCTCTGCTACTTCCTTTCCTCCATTCTCACCTTTACATTTTTCTTTTTCCCTCTACAGGTGCAGCTCGTCCTGCTGCAGTGGGTAGCGTGGTTCCTGCGTATGAAGCGGCCAGGAGAGAATGATGACCCAGAGCGGCCCCCGTGTGCCCCCCATCTGCGGCGGTGCTCCTCCGGCTCCCAGAGTGGGAGCATCCCCAACCCTCCGGACCCCACCCTCCATCCGCTGCACCCACAGAACCTGGCTCCTCTCCAAACGGGGCCCCTCCACGCGGGGCACCCTCACCTCCACGCCCAGTCCAGTGCTAACAACAACGGGAACCTTCTTTACATGGGCTTCCAGAGCATGGAGGACCCTTCAATGCTCTCAGAGCCCGTCCAGAGGAATAACATCTCAGTGGGGCCTCCACGAGTAGCAGGAAGCCCACCTCCGCACCTGCCATCTCAGTTCTGCAGCTCCCCACCACCTCCTACCCCCAATATGGATACTGTAGGCTGTCCCAGCACTGTCTCCAGTGGTGGGGGCTTTGGAGGTGGACCCGGAGGACTTGGAGGGTGCTCGACCGGAGGGATAGGAGACCCACAGCTACAGGCTATCCTGGAGGAGGTGCGTTACATGGCAGACCGTTTCCGGGAGCAGGACGAGGCTGAGAGCGTGGCCGACCAGTGGAAATTTGCGGGCGCTGTAATCGACCGTCTGTGTCTGGTGGCGTTCAGCGTTTTCAACATCATATGCACCATCTCTATCCTCATGTCTGCTCCAAACTTTGTGGATGCTATTTCAAAGGACTTCGTTTGAAAGCAAAGGGGGAAAAAAAAAGAGGAGGAGAAGTGTGAAGGAATGGATGAAGGGAATTCAATATAGGATGAAAGACAGAGTGGGCCCGGATCCAAGGAAACACAATTTCCAGCGGACTGTAAGCTCTGTGATTTGTGATTGCGAGGAACTGGGAAATAGAAAAAAACAAATGGTTTTCTTTGCAATACATTCTGTTTTGTAACTGAAATATAAGAAGAAAACAGATGAGGAAGGGGATCCAGAGTGGAGTTAAAATGAGATTAGGGTGAGCAGGGTGCTTTATCAGATTCTTGACAAGGTGAAATGGATTGTGGTTAATTCAAAGCCTTTCCCCTAAAAATTAAGGGGGAGATGAGTCATGAAGGGAAAAAGTAAGAGAAGATATCAGTCCAGTACAACCTCAAGTAAGCCAGCTCTTAAAGGAAGGGAGAGATTGAGAGAGTGAGAGGATAGAGACGGGCAGATAGACAGGGACAGATAGATAAGACAGACGTTTGGCTGTTTTATTTTCTCAAGGAGGGAAGACGTCCCTTCACTCCCACGTGTTGAAAGAAGACTGCATCGTTTAAAGTGATGTGAGGAGGAGAGGGCGTGGAGAGGAGAAAAGGACTTTTACAAGGACAGACAACAAAGAGTGGTCATGAAGGAACGAGACTTCATCCCTCGCGACATTGGCAGAGTTAGGCGGAGTAAGCAGCTTGATGTTCGGATATACAAAAGTGGACCGACGATCTAGAACGCCGCAGCAGAGGGGAACAGAGGAGGATCTCATCTATTATTCAATCACATCTATCTAATGACTGTCAAATTGAAAGACCTCGGATAATCTTTAAGACTAATAAGCTTTTAAAAGATGAAGTCCCCTCACTGCTCGCAAACCACTTGAAATTTCCAAGGCCTTATCTCTTTGAGACGATTGCCAATCTGCAACAATCAGCAGAGATCAAAAGCTCCTCAGCAGCGGTCAGAGTTTGCAGCGCTTATCATGACTGGGGAAACTGAATTAACTGGTCTTCAACGACGCAGTGGCCAGTAGCTGCACTGTGGTGCAGCTACTGGCCTGAACCAATAATAACTCATGAAGCAGCTGCCTAACTGTGTCTGGCAGGGTCCTAATAGACCAAGGGATCTCATTGGATTTCACATTAAAAGGTTTGATAGCTGAAATGAGAAAAGAACACGAGAGACTCAAATAAGGTGAAGATCATTTCAAGTCAAAGTTCTGTCAGATCCCTTTAGGGGTTTACCGCTTCATGAGTGATTTCATGTTTATCTAAAATAGGAGATGAGGTTTTAATAGACCTGTATTTTCATGAAACTGAGTCAATGACTCATTTAATTAAGTGGTGATTTAAAAGGTTTAAATTTAAACTATGCCCCTCAAGCCGAAGATCATCTGTGGCTATGACTTAAATTAGTTTGCCTTTGAGGGAATTGAACTTTTTCTGCTACTTTACCAAGAGTCAGACAACCATAGCTGACTTCACTGTGTCTCCGCTAGCTCTTTGAATGTTTGCTGAATGTTAGGTTGGCCCACTTTAGTGTAGCTCAATTCTTCAGAGGTCCAAGTAGCTGCTTCCTCTTAAATGGTAAGATTGAATGATTAGGAAGTCTGCCTGACCAAAACACAAGTTGTATTACATATAAGCAATTTAGAATGAACAAAAATTGAGATTATATCAAACTTCCAATCTACTTCCTCTGTATTTACTATGGCTGTGAAGATGCAAAATTATGATTCATGAATTTCTGAAAGCTCATTCTCCAGTTCACTATAGAGTAATCAACTGTGTGTCTGTTACACAGGGAATGGAGAATGAGGGAGTGATTACGCGCACAGCCCAAGATTATAAGAGAAGAATGAGTCACTGAAAATAGCTAGAAGCAACAGCAATCCACCTGCGTGTGTACCTTTAACAACTCTCTGTACAATTCACCACAGATAATTGCTGTATTTCTCAGTGCTTCGCTCAAGATGGTGTCATATTCTCCTCTTATAATATTAGCTTACATGTGGACGCAGCTGTGGTACACGACCACTGATAATAATTATAGATATGTCAAGAAAAATAGTACGGGATTCTTCTGTATTTGTGAAAACAGCAGTAGTACTAGAAATAGTAGTTGTTGTTTATTGGGTCATGCACATACAAGCACCCAGCCCACATAGTTCTCTTTGTCAGAAAAGAACAAAACTGGTAAAAAAAAACAACAAATGTTTAGTATTAAACCCTAGATGCAGTGTGTTTCCCTGCATTTGAGTGGCTCATACCTGTGAACTGAAATGAGCTCACTTTTCAACCATCATTCAAAGTATCAGCAGAGACACAAAGAAGTCATTCCTCATTTTTCTGCAGTAGGAGAAATTCCTCAAAAACAAAAAAAAAACTATTAAAAAGATAAAGCTGCCAAATCCCAATAACAACAACAACAACAACAACAACAACAAATCCCAAAAAAAGACCCAAACCTACATCAGGTCTGTCTGTCAATACTTTCCCACACTGTGTGTAGCACACAGCCCCGTGCTCATTTGTTCCTCATAAAGAGGTAATCCTTAAAAACAGGCGGCAATTATATTGTTTTATTTTACTCCTAAAAACAAGCCTATCTCACTTCCTAAAACAGCTGTGTACTGTAGTTTTGATCAAACACTACTCAAAAACACACATGGAAAAAGAAGTGGAAAATTGTACTCAGGTAAAAGTACTTCTACTTAAAATAAATTTTAAGTAGAAGTAAATGTTATTGTGTAAAAAATACACAAAGTAAGTCAGTAAATGTGCTCTGAGTAAATGTTACTCAGGGGTAAAAACTATAATATGGTGATAATAATAATATATGATAAATCTGTTATCTGTAAGTAGGCTACCAGGCAAATATGCAGGTGTATATACATTGGTATTTCAATGCATAAAGGTGCCGTTTCAGGTGAAAACAGCAAAGAAAGCAAACAATAAATTCTAGTCAGACATCTTACAGCCTGTGCACACACCTGATAATTACAAATATACAGTCAGTTGGCAGTCCTGCAGTAAATCCTCCCTTGATAAAAGGTCATCATTTTTAGTTTTATTAAAATTGTTAAAAGAGTTGTCAATTCAACTGTATGATCATTTTGAAGATGTAGTGTGGTGCTGTAAAGCTGAATTAAATGAAACAGAAAGTTGTTTGTTAATTAGCCTGTCTTCATGAATATAAATGGGGTAGAAAAAAGTAATAGGAACACCTGGACACCACGGTGGGTGTCCTTAGACTTTATGTAGCAATATTAAGCCGAATAAATCAAATAGCTGCTGCTTCTTATAGAATGAACAGCAGTTTAAGCAGCAGAAAAGATGGAGATGTATAAACAACATAAACTCCACCGCGCAACATGCATCAAAAACAGCAGAGAGATGGTGCATGTCTCACTGAGAGACGTGAACGTATCTGAAGGATCCACCATTAGCATTTAGCGTTTAGCCACACCCAGCATGCACCTGTTGGTCATGCAGTGTGGCATGTGTGCGTCATTTGTGAGTCCAGCAGACTCACTATCGCTGATGCGGCTCCTCGTTTGCTGTGTTGTCACCTGGTTCTCACACGGTTAATCATAACTTCATCATGTAACTTGTTTTTACTCTGCAAGGATTTCACCTTAAATATAGCGAAGTAAAATACTTGAGTTAAAAAATACTTAAGAGAGAAATTGCTGATTTTGAAATATTCTCCAAAAAATACAAGTACCAAAAAAGCAACTTTGTTTCAGTAACAAGAGAAAATGCAATTCGTTACTTACACCTCTGCACAAACAAGAGCAAATAGTGCATTTGTTGGGGACTATTTTCAGCTGCGGATCAATACACATTTGGTGCTGTAGTGAGTATTTCCAGCAGCAGGATGATGTGTATGGAATTGACTCTCAGTGCGGTTCTCATTTTTATTGTATTGAAGGAACATTTCAGCCGTTGCAACAATGTTGCTCAGTGACGTGTTTGTAATAGTTTTTGAAAACAAAGGAGTTTTATGACTCAGAGGAAAAACATACATGGACAATACTTGTTAGTAGGATCAATATGTTGTTAGTTTTGGTTTTTTCATGGGATTTGATGACGATAAGAAAAATACAACAGCCTTATCCTTTTACACAAAAATCCAGCAAGAAAAAATATGTTTACTACGTTCCTGACCTCCACTCTGTCTCTAGTGGCTATTCACATGCGTTCTCTCACAGTGATCTGTTACACAGAGTTTAGAGGCAGTTGTACAAATACCTTATCTCTACAACTCTCTTCGTCTCTTCTTCTGTCTCCTCTCTCTTCCTCTCTAAAGTCAAGTCTCCTAGCAAGCAGAAAGTAAACTTCCTGCCGGGGGGTTTGCAGAAGGATGTTCTCCTTCCAGCACATACTGACATCTGAACACTCACATCTGTACAGAACATTTCTCATCCTGAAAATAAAGGATTCTCTCTTTTTTTTTTTTTTCCTACCACCTTTGTTTGGTCTGCTCTGCTCCTTATCTTTCTGTGTTGACAGTGGCTGGCTCGAGACCCAAAAAGAAGAGAGAAATGACAGAGGGAGGGGATAAGAGGAGGACAGAAAGTGCTGACGCGCAGTGCGAGGTGGACAGGGCCTTAATTGATCACTCGTTCAGGAAGGAGAGAAGGGGTGGGGGGGATGGGATGGGAGAAAGAGGAGGGGAGGGTTAATGGGGGAAAGAGGGGGCATACTTGGTAATTCATTGGATTTATGAGGGACAGAGGCAGGGGAGATGGGAGCTCAGACAAGCATTACTCAGTCACAGACATCAAATGAAAGGCCACTGCAATATATCACACCACAAGGGAAAATATATACTACAGAAATAAACAGAAATTAGAGACATATTGTCATGCAACTATTTGTCCATCAAGTGTGGGCGATGTGTGTTGGTGTGTGGCCTTCACTGTGTCACTCAGTCAGTGTGTCAGACTGAGTAAAGAGTCAGGGGTGTATTTATAGTAGCATGCTGGTCCTTAT